AGAGTTGCTGGGGTGACCCAGAGGAGGAAGCCAGGCTCAGGTCCACTGAAGGACCCACGAGAAGCTCAGACCTAGTAGCCTTCTGGGGTGTGGGAGGCTGATGGAGTGGGAAGGGGCCAAGACAGGGACAGAGGGAACAGTGGTGGCAAAGGCTAAGCGGCTGGCGCACTTGGTGAGGCCACAGCTGAAGTCCTCCATGTTTCCAGGGGGTATGGGGCGTGCGGAGACCCAAGTCAGAGCCTGGCATGAAGCACCCCTGGGCTTTGCTAGGGGCATGGCCTTCTGGGCACACCCGAGAGCCAGGGAAGGTGTTTTGAACAGATCATTTGGTGGCTGATAGTTGGCAGGCTTTCTGGATGGATTGGCAGATGTCAGTCCCTAGGCAGAAAGACAGATTTGAAGCCTGTTGCCAGAATGACTCCAGACGAGGACTGGAGATGGCTTGAGCTACTGTGCCACCAGCAATGGTCATGAGCGACCTGGGTGGGCTTGGTGGTCTGCAGAGACAGAATGGTTAGGCCTGGGGCGAGGGTGGGTGGAGTGGTGGCAGCCTCAGGTTCACTGATCCTTGGTCTCCTTTGGGTGCACACCCACGTAGGTTTGGAGCTGTGGTGTGCCTGTGGGGGGAGCCCTGGGGACGGAACTTTTGCTGGGACAGGAATGAGTCTCACTTGGGGAGCCTGTGGAGTCTGGGGTACTCATGGGCCCTGAGAGGATTTGTGCAAAAGCTAGCTGGAGACACAAGCCTGGAACTTTCTGCACGTCACCATGAGGCCCCTGTTCAGGAGTGTTCAACAGGAACATTCAGAGAGAAAAAGAGGCATTATCTTGGGCTTGGGAGGGTTAAAAGGGTAGGCAAGTGGGAAATGTTTGTTTTTCTCTTTCAAATTCACTTGGTGTTATTTTAGTGACTGTTCTGCAATGAGTGCGTTCTCCTTCCTGACTTGCTATCTTAGGCAAGCACTTAATCTCGAGTTACACTTCCCTCCTTGGAAGTGGACAAAGTCTTTTGCCATTAATAACAAATAACCAGAGTCTCAGTTTATTGTGTAGCCCAGTTGCTGACCAGAATCTGTTGTAGCTCATGCTGTGTTGGTGTGGAGGGGCTGTGGGTTTTTTTTTTTCTTTTTTACTTTTGTGAAAACATTTGTATAAG